GATACTCCTTTCTTCAGCAATTTAATACAAAGACGGACTAGATCGGGCGAGGATCATACAGAAAGGGCGTTTCACATATCTACTAGAATAGTGTTGGACGAAAGCGTGATACCTAAACGATATACCAGAGTATTGCTACATGATGTGTATCTAGATACCGTTGACTTGTCATTAATACTGAGAGGAAGCGGTTATGGAAATAGTGCTGGTAGTTTGTGAGAGGTAAGAAAATTTTAACATAGGAATATTCCGTACATTACGTGATATACGTTAATTTTATACGTTAATACTTTTGTTTAAATTTACAGGTTCAAGCTCTGACACATACGGGCCGAATGCGAGCAAGCCCATTAGAGGAAGCGATGGAATTGTATCAGATTGGACGGATATATTATCGCAAGGCTGCGAGGATCTTATTTTAGAGTATCTCACCTTGGAATCATTACCGACTGTTCTCAAGTAAATCTGATTACTAAGAGATCTTTTACAACCATTAGAAATTAAATTGTTATACTAAAAAAAGTACATTACGTGCAGGTGGGGCAGTCAACCTCATGGATCAGCATGGGTGCACAGACAAGCGTTACATTACTTAAGGGAATTTCAGTCAATTGCTTCGTCCTTGATTCTTCATCAGTTAGATCACGCCCTTGCTTAGCAAATGTTTTACAGAGCCATTTTTTACAAGCGAGCGAACTTGAAGTACTGCAGGCAGTGCTCAAGTGGGGCGAACACGAATTAGTACGTTGAATGGAGGATCGGAAACCTAATTTGCTTAGCCATACTGTGCACTCGGTGACGAGAAAGGGTATTAAGAAAAGAGATCTCAGCGACATCGAATTGCGGGAAATACTAAGTAAACTTTTGCCGCTTGTCAGAATAGATCATATATTGCCGCCGAATAGCGAAGCATTAGCACATTGCAGGTATATTTCTCACAAAACATTTTTAAATTATTTAAAAGTAAATATATTTCTTGTTAATATATATTTTTTTATATTGATAATTTAGGCTATTAGGAGAGGTCTGGTTTCAACCCCACCAAGTCACATGATAGAAGACGAAAGAGATAATTTGAGGGTGAATGCTTGGATAAGAGGCGGAAAGAAAAATGGATTTTTTGTGCGACCAAGGCTATTCATGCCGTATTACGAAGAAATCAAGGTGATAATAATTTAATTGTTAAATAAAATGTTAAATCAACATTTTATTTTGCTCCAGGGTTCGAAAATATCATGATATTTATATAAATATCAAAATATCCGATATATATTCATATATATCGGATATTGGATATATAATTATAGTAGATATTTATTAAGATATTTATTAGCGTACGGACACCGACAGATATTTATTAGCGTATGGACATCCATACGTGCCGTTTATGTAGACATGAGACACAATTTTGTTGTCAAAGTCATCCAAGTCTGGCAAAAAGAAAAATTTAACATTTGAATGTGTACGAAGTAAATTTAAAAAATTTCAAAATATTACAATGTTATATACACTCGTACAAAAAAAATAGGGAACACTTCATGAACCCTAAAAATTAGACTATTTTCAAACTGCTGTAAGTCGGGAAAAAATTATCGTAAAAAAAATCTAAAAAAGCATTTTGAAGCTTGAAGTTTCAACTTTAACGCACTTTCGGTGGATTTTAAAAATTTTTTTATTTCCTCTGTTGTACGCCTTAAAAAAGAACACATTGTTTTGTTCCTTAAAATTAACTTATGTTTGACTACTTGAAACTCAATTAAAAATTTTTTTTTCAAAAAATTCAATTAACGTTTCATAAACTACATAATTTTACCTACAAAATGTTTTTTTTTAATCTTCCTATGATTTTTTTTTGACCGATTTACACGACTTTGAAGCAAACCCTGTATTTTTTAGAAAAAATGACGTAACTCGATGAAAAATCATCGTAGAACAAACAACAAAAAAGCATTTTAAAGCTCAAAATGTCAGCTGTAACGTGGTATCGGTGACAATAAAAAATTTTTTTGTCTTTCTTGTTTGGTGCTAAAATTAAAAATGTTGATTTATTCCTTAAAATTACACATTTTTAACACTCTGCAGTTTGATAAAAAAATTTTTTTCACAAAATTCAATACAAATACCACAAACTGTAACATTTTACCTACAAAATGCTTTTTTTAAAATCTTCCTACGATTTTTTTTGACCGATTTACACATTGTTGAAGTTAACCCTTTTTTTCTTGAAAAAATGACATTTACCGCCGACATTAGCATTAACCAATGTGCACCACGTGGAGGTTGTCAGTCGGATTTTGCACATCGTGTGTGTGTTTGTGTGTGTGTGTGTGTGTGTACGTGCGCGTGCGTGCCTTTAAAATTGTGTATTACCTCTTCTCTGATTAATTACTGCTTGCGCAATTGCTCTTGCATGTTTATGCATCTTTCAATTGCGCTTTGTGGAATTTTGCGCCAAATTTGCCTAAGCGCTTCTCCCAATTGGTTCAGATTATATACGGCTGCTTCAATCGTCATTCCATTTTGTCCCAAATGTGTTCAATGGGATTTAAATCGTGGAATCATTTAAATGTTGGCGAGATTCTGCCACATGTCACAAGTCACGTATCACGAGTTCCTTGATTCCACAAGAAACGAAAAATTATTGGAAATTAGCAAATATGTCATGAAAC